ATTCAGTTTTCGCGCGGCAGGTCAGAAAATGGCGATCCATCCCACACGCGTAAAGAGAATAAAAACGTCCCGCGCGCCGTTGAAATTTGTTGGACGTACGTGCAGTCGTTGCGGTATCGTTGCGTTGAACTGATTTCGAAAGAGCAGGCCGCGGCTTATCGCGCGCGTATATATTATGTCTGCAAGCTATAATCGAGCCGATGCCTGCTGGAACGGAGCTTCGCTACGACACCGATCCGTTTCCTGCTCCGCGAAATGAGATTCTGAATTTTTCATCTGGCTCTCCATTAAGGGATTGATTGAGACAACCAGCGTGATATTGAATTAAATATCTACCGGCTATTCTTGGAAACTGTTATTGCCCTCCACACTGTACTAATGCAACGAAACGCGATACTTCATTTATAACCTCGTTAATTTTTCATCAATCAACGATGCTGCGCAAGCCGTTGGCATGAAACTTTTCAATCTGAAGGATGGATCATATTCGTGCAAGCGTGAATGATTCGCAAGTCGAATAGTCAATTGGTGAATCGAAAAATAGCGAAGGATGATGATACTGTTAATACACATGATGTTTGTGCATTTTTCGGAATAATGATGATAATATTAAAGAAATAGCAAAATCTTTCGTAACTAACGAAAATAATCATGATATTAGAATAAAGGTGTAACAATAGTAATGTTAAATAAAATAAGATACGGTAACGATAATGATATTAAAATGATATCATTATTTGCGAAGAATTTCAAGAATTTCAATTTTCAACAATTTCAAGATCAATTCGAAAGAATTTCGTGGGTGGTGTAACGATGCCAGGCGAGAACATCTCGTACATCTCGTACATCCGGTTCGAGTGGAATAGCCAGCGAGACGCGTACAGAGAGATGCACGTGACGGAAATGCTATGCATTCTCCGATGTTTGACCAGTCTGCGGTTGTCGGGCCGACAGATTTTCCGCGGGTAAACTCTGTTTCTAGCTTTGGCGACTCGTGGAAATTGCGAACGCTACGAGAAGCTACGTCTACGCTCGGTCTTGACGCAGAAGCAGTTGCTAACACGGATTAAGAAACCAGCGAGCGAAAGTATCGTCACTTAAACTTAGGTATCTCGCGTTATGTGGTTTTTCAAAGTGACAATTAAATTCGAAATATCATTCGAGACAACCCGACTTGGATGCAGCGACTCGTCAAAGGACAAGAGAATGGCGTACTCTAAAAATTATTGAATCTCTTTCTATCAAACAAACGGACCTTTTACTATTTAATTTACTTCCCGTAATAAATTTGGTTTCCATCTTACCTTGGCCGATAACTCTCCAAATCATTATACCGCCGCCTCTCGTAGATCGACTCAGAAGTTGTTGCTCCGTAAATCACGATAACGGTAGTGGAGATCAAAATTGAAGCTTTTTCATTGGCAAATGCGACTCTTTGCCATTTCTTGTTCGTAGAAACGTGTTTCTCTGCAAACTGCGAACGACACAGTTCACGCTCTTGCTTTAATCAGGATTTTTGTTGCAATATTCGTCGAACGTTCCCAATATTTGTTGGAACTCCAGCTTTCTCTGCAATTTCTCTCGTAAGTGGAGATTGAATTTGACGCTACACGTTTATCCTAAGCTGTTGGACACCTTTCTCTTTTGCCGCAATTGTCGCAATCTTTTAGTAAATTCATCGTCACTTTTACGACTTCGGTTAACTGTCTTGGCTACTTTTGTCACAGAATAACGTTCTTCGTTTAATTTCAATATTCAGCGCGTGCTTCAGTTGGATATAACTGTTCCCCACGATCCATTTTTACAAACGTTAATACGTACTTAACCGACCGTATTTCACACGAATGTTATACTTTCGATAGCTCCCGTACGACTGAGGAACGCAAATATTCGAACTTGCTCGATCCTGCCTACCTCGAGGTTACGGATTAGAATATTTACATGTTCGTTTTTGTATTTCTGAGAAATTGCTTTTCTGAGAAATTGTCTCGGTAATAACATTCGACATAATACACATGCTACACTTTGCTTTCATTACACTTGATACCTATTTGCGAACGTATTTTATGAAATATTTGAAAATTTTATTAGCATTACATCACAATACCTGGCTATCGTGAGTAAATTGGTAAAATTCTTCAACTCTATTTTGAATAGAAGTGGAGATCAATCTAAAAATATATGTGAACAAGAGATATCTAAAAATATGTATAAAAAAATCACAGATTATTTGGTTACAGTTACATTTGTTTAGACACTTCTGAGAGCTTGAATTAGTATATTCCACATATATATTATTTCCACGTAGAAATTACAAAAGTAAGTTTGAACAGTCACAATTCATAGAACCGTTCAACTAATCACGACTCACTACATACGTGTGTTTCGTAGAACACACGTGTATATAATATTCCATAATGATTTTTCATAATGACAAGAACGCATATCCAAGGTGGAAGATGGCTAATAATCAGGAATTCTGAGAATATTTATCCAGCAGTCTGGCGTGATAAAAATAAACAGAAACGAGGGACCGGGATTTCCTCGGCTGGAAAATTCTCTGAGCGCGAAGAGATTTTAATTGCGCCTATTAATGGATCTGCCGGGGCAAAAATAAGCCGCACGATGTCAAACATTATTGTACAAGCGACATCGACGACACTGAGGAAAAAAATAGAACAAAAATAACACCGGTGTAAACCGTGCGATGCTATTGCTTGAAATGCGTACAGCGAATTGGAAAAATCACGCAAGTTTGACGATTGAAAGTCGTTTGCGAATTGTGAAAAATGCACACAGTATTTTCTTTTTTAAAGAAGAGATTCGATAAAAAATTGATAAATAATAAAATAGTGTGTATTACTGGTGTATTAATTAAAATTGTGTTTGTCTGTATGTTAATTGTGTATTATTTGCATTATATTAAAGAGAAGACTTTAAATGAAACAGTAATCACATGTTGTGATATCTTTATGTTTTTGTACTACATACTGAAAATAGAGAATTTCGATGAAAAAGTAACCATAGTGCAATCTAAATTTCGTACCATTTTTGCCATATAAAGTAACCATTAAAGTTTTGCAGTATTTTTATATGTTCTCGCATTATTACCAAAAGGAAGAGCTTCGGCAAAAACGTAACTACGGTGCAATTAAAATTTCGTTTAACCTGAAATATTAATTTCAGTGGAATTTCAGTGGCTGGTCAGTCTCACCACGCTCGAAATTGTTATTAAACGAGAAACGTGAGAACGAAATAACGTTTCCTAATTCGAAGCGTTACCATTATCTCGATATTCGCAGGCTGTTATTCTCGATGCTTATTCCAGTCGGAAATCAACGCATTCTACGTGATCCGCATTTCGAACGCCACGAACGCGAACTTTCATCCCCTAATAATCATACAAGGCGTATAATTAAGGTTCTGCGATTCGTTTCTTAATGCAACTTACAGTGATGCGAACAAAATTTCCTTACTTTTTCCTTCTTTATAACACGTCTGAAAATTGGTGTCACAAAGATAATTATCCTCGATACTCTGTATATTCAGGCTATATACACATTCAGTAAAATTACTTCATTCAAAGATTTCTGTAAGTAATAGTTATAACTAGACCGCGAATTTTTGTCCATTTATTGGAAACATTATATAAAACTGTCCAGAATATATGTAAGATATTAAAAATAAATATTACAACAATTTGTACATATATCAAAGTTCTATTATTTTGTGAATTATACAAGTTGTTTCCAAAACTACAGTTTTGCCCAAAAATTTCACGGTCCAACAATAAACGAAGGCACAATAAATTCACGTTTAAAATAGATGGATAATTCGAAGCTGAAAATCTATGATGGATCTAAATAGCAAGAAGAAGGTTCGCATGCATGTCAATTATCAGAGGAGCGAGATAGCGGGTGAAAATGTGCATGCGACTGCTCGAGGCACCCACCAGCTGTGGCCAGCGGACTGTAAGGTAGACTTTGGCGCGGCCAAAGAGCCGCAATCTTCGTAATCTCCTCAGCTTCTTATCGTTAAAGCCCATCCCCATGAAGACGGGCGGCACACGTGATCCGCATTGGCACTCCAGGTTGCTAACCGATTATTTTTCACTACGACAACACAGCAGAGTACCGTCCACCTCTGCACAACTCCCCCCTTTCGATCTTTCAACGTCGCGCTTCTCTCGATCTTCACTCTTCCAAGTCACCTCTCTCTCTCTCTCTCTCTCTCGATCAGAGGACGTTTCGTTTGAGCCTCTCTATTGAATCGACCATGTCACCGTGAAGAATTATATTTGCGCGCAACTTTTCAAATTAAAAAAAGGGAAAAAGGAAACCACGCAACATTTATACAGAAACGAGCAAACATTTGTACAGAATTATAGTTCACGTCGTGCTTCGACGACGAATTTCTCGATTCTCTGTGCAACTACGGCTGTAGAATTGAAGGAAAAACGATGCTGAAGGCACGCGCACGTGAGCTACGCGACGGAATCATTAGGCAGATTTGTGACCTTGGAATCGCGATTCAGCGTGCAGCGAGCATTGTGCAGAGCGCGACCCGGGCCGCGCGCGCTCCCCGCATAATCGTGACGCATATTATCCGCGTGACGTTGCCGCGTCGAATATTCTCTTCTCTTTATGTTTCTTTCCGATCTCTGGAACTACCTCATTCACCGTCACCATTCGACATCCCGTGGCAAGCCCGAGTGCTCGTAAGTATGACAAGGATGACGACTTTCCCGCGGTAAATCCCGGACAATGGAAGCTCGACAATGACGCGTACTATTCACGCAGGATTCCCTCAATTCAGCGATCAAACGCGAATCTACCTCGATTGATTGTCCAATAACCTTCAACCTGTCTTCGATCGCAACAACGAAACGTCCCCAACTGGGAAATCCCTCGGTACGGAGGCAAAGTGACGAAAGAGAGAAAGAGAGGGAGAGAGAGAGAGAGAGAGAG